CCCTCCCCCACCACCCAACACTCCCAACCCACCACCTTTAGACCCCCCACTGCTCCCCGGCCTCCTCCGCCCAATCAACCCAAACCTCAACAGCTCGCTCATGCTCCTCCGCACTCTCGCCCCTCCATCTGGACTCCCAGGCTGCGGCAGCTCCAATGAATGGCCCCGGCGCGGTACGAGCGGGCTCGTCGCTGTGACCTCGTCGTCTCCTGCACCGCCTATCGCGCTACTCTTGCCGCCGCTCGCGCCACTATCGAAGCTCAGACCGTCGCGGGACCACTCGTCGCTACCCCCTCGAGCCCACATATCATCTTCGAGCTGACTGTTCGGAGCCGGATATCGGGTGAGGTTGAACGTCCCGCTTCTTGATGGCCTCAGAACAGGCGAACTTGATGAGGACATGTTCAACCCGAACTCGTCGGGCGAGCCGTTTTCGAGTACGACGTCCAACGACGACCGAGTCGACGCGAGCGAGCCGGAATGCGCGTGGTTGAGCTGGGCGGGGGAGGGCGCGTAGGGATGTGGCTGTGATTGAGATTGAGATTGCGTCGGTCCGGTCGAAGATGAGGAAGGATTGGGTGAATGCACAGGCGACTGCGCCGACGAACTGCTCTGTCCTGGCGCAGACGGGCTAGGCGTCGAAAAGTCCTCCGCCTGCCTCAGCGACATCCTCTCTCCCTCCCCTTCGCCCTCCTCCACCGGAACCCGCTCCGGACTCCGCACCGCCTCAGGCCTCGCAACCTCTCCCGCACCAACACCCTTCCCGAACGTCCCCACCCTAACCAACCCCCCGCTCTCCGCGCTCGAATGCCTCAACGCCGCCCCCTTCGGCATCTCCCGCTCCACAACCCCGCTCAACGGCTGACTCGCCGAATGCTGCAACGTTCGCTCGCCCTTGTCCGTGTTTACGCTCAACCCCGGGACGCCGGTGCCTTTGGGCCGCGAGAAGGCCGCTTCGCCTGCGCTGGAGCCGGGCCGGACGTGGACGTGTCGCGTACCGGAGGATGAGGGGAGAGACGCGGTGTTGAGCAGACGAGGACCGGGCGCTGATATGCCTCGGACGTGGACGTGGCCGAGCGAGTTGGGAGGACGGGGGCCGGCGGGGCTCGCTGGACTATGCAGATATGCCAGTCCTCCCGCACTCGATGCTGATGCACTCGGCGGGCTGCCCGCGCCTGCTGCACCTGCGCCTGTGCTCATACTCTGCAGACCTGACCCGCTCGCGTGGGGGATACTGAGCTTGGTCGTCACGCGTACGGCCGATACAGGTTCGGGTGAGGGAAGTTCGTCTGCGGGTGTATGCGCGGATACGGAAGAGGACATGCTAGGTAGCATATCCGTGCTCCCGTTCGCCTCGTCCCCTCCATTGCCCAGATCGGTATTGAGAGGTGTAACGCCAGCGAACGGCGCAACGCTGCTAGCAACCGCAGGACTCATCCCCGGCTCCTCCTCATCCTCCTCGTCGCCACCATTGAGCCCCGCTCCGTTCTCACTGACGGGCGTCGATACGAAGGCTGAGAGGAGTGTTAGGCTCGTTGGTGAGCGGGGACGGCGGGGTCGGGAGGTGGTTGATGTCGCTGTTGATGCTGAAGTTGAAGGGAGGAGAGGTTGGGGTGGGTAGGAGTGCTGTGCGGGTGCGCTGAAGCGGAATGATGCGCTTGCGCCTATGATACCAAATCAGTTTGACCATAGCATACACAGGGACAATGAAGCAAACATACCTTCACCAACCGCACCCTCCCTCTCCCTCTCCCCCTCCCCATCCCCCTCGCCCTCGCCCTCCCCATCAGGCGTATCCATCATCCCCAGCTCCAAAAAGCTGCCCTCGTCCGCCTCCGCCCCATCCGGAATCTTAGGCACAGGCGGCGCAGCCTTCAGCCTCTCCTTCTCCCTTTCCCTTTCCCGCTCTCGCCTCCTGCTCTGCACACTAGCCGCCGCCGAGCTCGCAGACGCGATACTAAACGCATCGCTGTCTTTCCTCTCCCGTCCTCTATCCTTCTCCCTCTCCTTGCCCTTCATGCTCTCTTTATCGTTTCCTTTCGCTCGCTCGGACCCGACGACGCCCGCGAGCGTCAAACTGCCTCTCCGCCTCCTGCCCTCCCTCCTAACCTCGACCCCGTACCCGCTCTCGGGCACACTAGAAACACTGCTCGCTCTCCTCCTAACCCTCCTCTCCCCTCCCTCCGCACCACCACCCCTCTCTCCCTTCGCACGCACGCTCAGTCCCAAAGAGGCTTTACTAGCGCGCATGCTCCTCGTCCTCGCAGCCGACACGCGCGACACTTGCGATGTCGTGCTCGCGCGTTTATGCCGTTTGTGCTCGGGTCTGTCCGCGTGCGACGTTGAGGGATGAGGAGGCGCCGGCGCGTGCGGCTTGACGGCGTGTGGGAGGATCGGGTCCGCGTGTGCTGGTGGGACGGGCGGGCTCATCGACGGCGCAGGCGGAAGCGCAAATGTCGAGCCCGAGGGGAACGGGCGGGCCGTAGGCGGCGGCTCGTCGTCCCCACCACTCTCCCTAGCGGGCGCCTCGACGGTCTGCGATTCTTCGGTGTCGGACCCGTGCCCCACACTAGCCGCCACGCTCGACCCCGCCGCCACACTGGACCCTTCCCCACCGCCGCCAGGAATCAAAGCGGTCGGCCCTTCGCCCTCTCTGAACCCTTCGCTGACAGGACTCGGCGGTTCCCCGTCTGCGGCGCCTGTACCGTCATCCCCTGGTTTGGACTCGACGTAGCGCGCGGCGCTGACGACCGCTTTGCCCGTTACGGGCACGACCTCTGCTTCGGAGACGCGCGATATGCGGCTGAGGCGGGATATGGACGTTAGGTCTTCGCTCGGGGCGAGCGAGAGTCTTCGGCCTTCCATCGTATCCCCATCCCCATCCCCACCCTCTGCACCATCGCCTTCCGTGGTCAACACGAACCGCAGCCCCTCGCCATTTGGATTGCCAGTAGCAGTCGCAGCCGAGTCGCCCCGCCGATGACCAGGGCGGGAGGAGAATGCGGCGAGCGCATCGGTGAGCTCGCGCTCGCGCTCTTCCCAGACGCGCTTTTCAGCGCGCAGGCGGTCGACTTCGGCGGCGACTTCTTCGGCTACGCGCCATGCTTCGTCGACTTCGCCTTCTGCGACCAGACGGCGGTCGCGCTCCCTATTATACACAGATCCATGTCAGCCTGTGACTTTTGTATGATAATGCAGGTATAGACGTACCGGCCGAGCTCTTTGGTTCGTCGAGCGTAGCTTGCGTTGAGTTTGCGGAGCGCCACGGCCAACGCCGAAGATTTATGCGTCCCCACCGCCTTCTCGCATCCCGCCCTCGCATGTGCAGCCGCGAGCAGACTCCCCGCATGTGCGTCCATCCTCCCCATAGCACCGTGCAACTGCGTCAGCAGCGCATGCAGCGCTTCGGCGTCGGACGAGTCGTCCAGCGTCGGTTGCGAGGTTGACGTGGATGTGGACGTGGAGGGTAAGGAGGAAGCGATGGATTGGAGAGCAGAGAGCAACATCCCCCTGCGCATCCCCTCGAACCTCCATCCAGCCGCCGCGTTGTCCCATTCGCTCTCCAAAGCACGCATCCGCGCGTCGATCTCCGCTTGTACATTCGGCGCCAATAGCCTATCACACCAATGAAATGCAAACGTCAGACATCTTCCATTCATACTTTATACCAGATGAGGAAGGAGAGAGTGAGACATACCGAATACTCCGTTCGCGCGCGCTCTCCCGTATAGCAGCACTAACGAGCGCTTGCAGATCCGCGCTGCTCAGCGTCCACTGCGCCGCGTCGAGCGTAAGGTGTTTGTACGGTATCGGAGCGGGGTTCAGCTCGATCGGTGGTAGAGGCGGTAAAGGCGGGCGTTGTGGCGCCTGAGCGCGTTTGATCGCTTGGGTGGTAGAGGTCGTTGTCGGTCGTTGATGACCCTGAGTTTGGAGTTGAGGGTGAGATTGGGAGTGAGATTGGGAGGTGAAGTGCGAGGGCGCGGGCTGGAGCGTGGGCACGGGCGTCGATATTGTGCTGTTCGTCGCGGAATTCGAGTTCGAATGAGGATATGTCCCTGTGCCGGTGCCGGTGTTGGCGTACGAAGAGGCGGACGTGGAAGGTCTCGTGACGTTTGTGTGGCCCGGTGTAGTAGGCGTAGGCGGTACACTCGGCAACGAGCCGTTCGTCCGCGCCGGCGAGCTCGTCGCGCGCGGATGGAGGAACGTCGCGCCCGTCGCGGACGTCGGCGGCTGCATAGTCATATTCATATTCATATTCATGCTCGAGCTCGCGTGGGGGTGTAGTGGCGGCGGCGGCGGGATAGGGCCTATAGGTAGTTGACTGTGCGCGTGTGTAGGGCTGAGCGGAGGCGGTGCGCGCGGCTGAGGCTGTTGAGGCTGGGGATGTGCAGAGTACGCCGGCGGGCCGATGCTGGCCGTCGTGTCACGGCGCATCAGCGGCGCCGTGCTCGCGCTGGGCGCATCCTGCGTGTTCTTGCGCTGCAGCTCGGGCGATGGCGACGCCGTGCTGCTCGGCCCGGACTCCGGCTGGGGTAGCGCAGGCTGTGATGGCGTATTCGTCCTGGCGTACGCATCCTGCGACTCGACATAACTCGGCCTGTCCTCGCTCCTCCTCTCCTCCACGTGCTCTGATTCAGGCTCAGGATGCAAGACGGGCTGTGGCGACTGTGTAGCCGGCGGCGGCGGAGGGGGTACGAATGGCTGGGTGAGTTGGGCCGGCGGCGCGGGGAGCGGGCTCGTCGGCGCTCTCAAGCGCGGGCCGAGGAGACGACCGGCCGGGCGCTCGCGGTTGCGCACGGACATGACGATGGTCGGGGGAGGAGGAGAGATAACAGGATAATACGAGTATACCCCACGCGCCGACGCAAGGTTCGACGACTATACACCGCCGGAACGAACAATCCGCGCCTGGCCGCGTGGCACGCCTAGAACCGGCCCTCGCCCTGTCTTAATTGAACCGATGACGAGCTCCCGGCGGCACGACGACTACGACTAGCTGGAATGGAGTGCGTATGGCCGTTTAGGAGACAGCTGTAGTAAGTAAGTAAGTAAGTAAGTAATTATTCCCGGGGGTCAACCGATTGGGACTGGGAAGATCTGGGCGTAGTGTGGACGGTCGTTGTTGTGCTGGTCAAACTGCCTCCGCGGGCGCACGGCCCTGACAGCCTGGCCCAACATATCTGAAACAGACGCGCCGACGCTTGTTTCCGCTTTCGGCTGGGCGTTTGTTTGCGACTTCGATCATTCGGCCCCATCATAACACGTGTATATTGCGCCCCGCGGCCTCCGCCACTTTCCGCTCTTGACCACGACGACGACGACGGCGATCTCGTCTTGCTGGAGGACTACGTGCACTGGTATCGGCACATAATCGCCAACGATGCAACTATTGCTTGTACAGATGTCGCCCAATGATAGATCCTCGCCGAGCTCGCCGATACAGTGCTTGATAGGCTGTCCTCCATCTGGCCCATCGCCCGATGCTCCATACAAACACCAGTGGCGGACCTCCCGCAGATCTGCGCTTGTGGCTGATACTCTCATGACGAAGCTCAAGGAGTATCTGGAGTGACTAATGAGGACTGACGGTTGTAATCAGTATACGCTGTTACAGCTCTGCCTATCTGTTGCGTTCTCGCTAGATGTCAGCAATCAGATAACAGCGGCATTCCTAGACCTTGAGATCATACATGTGCGCAGAAGTACAACCATCACTCATCTCTAAGCTGTAGGCTGAACAGCTGGTCATCCATACAGCCCGCGCCGGTGTCAATGCATGCTAGATCTTCCGTGAGTACAGCATTACTGCATTACATGACCAAGCTTAGATCCATCCTTCTAGTTGTATGTGCGGCCGCACGTGAGTGCAATGCGCTGGCTGACTGTACCCAGTGAGTAGTCTCGTTCAATGTTGGATAACGAGGGGGGACGTTATCCGCTCGATAAGAGCCGTTAACGAACCCACGTCGTTATCCGCGCTGCTGGTGCACCGCCGGTGATGCCCGATCAGCGCCGCCGCGCCGGTGCCCATTGCGTGACCGACGCGTATCGCATACACTCTCGCGCTAAGAAGGAGGACTCGCTTACTGGAGAGCTGAAGATGCGCGGCGCTTCGCGCCCGCGCACCCGTGCCGGGTCGAGCCGAGCGAGGCCCGAGGCGTGGAAGATGAATGTGACTTAGTATCTCCATGGATGTACCCCGAACACTAACCAGTCCCGCACGTAGGAAGCGAAACGACTTTATGTCAGTGACATGCCGGTGAAGTTGATTGCCTGTGTATCACATCCCGCTGCCTTACCTCCCTTCAGTCTCGGCTACGGACGTTTGCATACTTGCGATTCGTATACTTACGTCGAAACGCGCCGGGGATGCAAGCCAGCGCTCACTGGCCACGTATAAGTACCGTGCTGAACCCACTAAAAACAGCTGGTTCTTAATACCAACGGCTGCATCGCACTCGCCACAACAACTCGCCCTGTCAGCAATTTCATCCAGCCCATTCCCTGTGATCACGATGCACTTCACTCGTATCGCACTCAGTGTCCTCGCCATGGCACTCGCTGGCAGCACCTCATCGGCTCTCGATGCACCGTACGTCTATCTGTCACGACTGTGCACTTCCTGAGCCCTGACACTTGCTCGCAGTCTCATTGGGAAACCAGTCGAAGACTTTCAAGGCGTCAATACGCCTGCTCGTCGCGGTTGAGAGAGGTACATCGGGTAGCGTAGCCGTCGAGATGAGCGTAGAATATCGGAGGTCACTTGCCGTTGGTGGGACTTTCAGTATATGCTTAAACCAATTGTGTACGGCAGACGAGTGGTTCCAATGCATTTATTCTTTCCGGGGTCATAATTTATTGATTATTCATAAGGATTGTAGAAGATCAAGCGCAGCACTACCCAGGCGCGCTTCTTACCTAGGGTTGGCCTCGCTGTAAGGAGCCAGCTCGCAGCTCCAAGCAGAGGGCCATAGAGCCAGTAAGTCTTCGTTGCGATAGCGCATGTATGTGTAGAGTGCCACAGCTAGTCCTTGAAGGATGCTCCCTTGGCGCAAACCGTCCCTGTGGTGGCCGTCAAACGGGCGGACGAAAGCCTCGGATAGCTCTAAGCGCGAAATGTCACAGACCGTCACGTCCGATTGATCGTTGAGCGCGCGCGTTGATTCACGCTCTTGTCTCTCACCATCAGTTCATCCGGACTCGCAGTTTGAGCCTTCTCTACGTGAGAATTGGATATCACATTATGGAGCATGTCTTATCGATTCCAGAGCTTATCGATAGAATCTTTGCCTACACGTCGCGCAAGACAAACACGGTGACAGCGCTGGTCTGTAGAGGCTGGTTAGAACTTTCACGCGACCACATCTGGTCCAATGTACGGAGGCCAAAAGAGCTGTTATCTTTTCTCGCTCCACTAAATGGATTGGAGGGTGATGATCTGGTGCGTCCCGCTGTGCTTGTATCAAATGACGGTGTCATTGACAGCGGCGATAGGATTTCATCCGCATCCCTCTGGAGGAGGACTGGCAACGCTTCGAACCATTTGCAACAAGAGTGCGCAGGATTACCTTTACAGAACTCAATTTCAGCATCTCCATGGGTTCCACTCTTCTACGCTCAGCCTCTAGACCGAACCCCATCTTTCCCAATTTGCGCCATGTTTTCTGGCACATCTTCTCTCCCTCAGATTCCAGGAACGGCGTTCATGCACTATTCTTACACCCCGGCGTTCCAAAAATGACACTCTACGGTCTCTCCCGCTACGGGATGAACTGGGAGCGCTATCCATTGCGTTCTCTATTTTCCGACGTCGCCCAGCTGGCTCCCAATATCACACAACTCCACCTCCGCCCTCACTTTCCCCAAGTGGATGACATGAGTGAACCGATCAATGAATTACTCTCAGCCCTCTTGTCGCTGAGAAGACTAGCCATTGAGCCCTCGCTGCTCACAGCATCTGTCTTACAGTTGTTATCGACGCACTCGGAGCTTGAGGCGATTGTGCCTGCCTTTGATGAATACCCAGGGATTAGCGGTGATCCTCAGAACGTCGCGAGCGTCGTCGGGCCACTCGACCTCCAGCCAGGTGCATTCCCAGCCCTCAAGATCCTACACCTAAGCATGACCTCCCAAGCCGCCATACGATTCATCGCCGACCCAAATGCGCCCTCCGCCCGCTTGGAAGATCTGCGTATACGATTATTGGATCCGATCAACAATGTTCGCGTCAGGGAACTTCTCATGAGCACGGCAGAGTTTTGCTCGAATTTACGCGTTCTGACCGTGTTCCTCTATCCGCCCGTGTTCGCCAGTAGATGGGATGCAGAGCAAGTCATGGAGTCTCTAACCTTCCACGCCATCGAACCTCTCTGTCGGCTGAAGACGGTCGAGCAGCTCGCTATCTACCACGTGATCCCAACTTCCATGACCGAGCCCGAGTTATTCCACTTCGTGGACTCACTCCCTCGCTTGTCTTCTCTGCATCTCGTCCCTCGCCCAGACTGGGGAGCAGGCGATCCTCGCCAGCCAGGTCCTTCGAACTTCGACTGGCACACATTGGAAGTTTTGCTTCGAAGATTCCCGCGCCTCACTCACCTCGGAGTGTATCTCGACCTCTCGCTCCCACCTACCGGCATCTCCGATGCCATTGCGGCGTCGCTCAACACTACGACCGCAGACTTACCATCGTGTACAATACGTGTCTTGACTATGGGAACCACGCCCATCCCGCCGTCAATGGACCCGTCCATGATCGCCTCAAAGCTCGCGGCCCTCCTTGGAAATCAGGCCGAACTGTGGTGGGGAATCAACGCTGAAAGCGAGTGGGGTGTCCCACTGCCTCTATACGGAGGGCCTTCCTTCCAGTCGGAGCTCCAGGGTTGGGAAGAGATCCAAAAGCTATTGTACTCTGGGTTTGGTGTGCAGCGCGAAGGGGTTTATCATGTCGGAATGAAGGATAGTTGACTTATGTAGTTCGCGTCGTCCATTGTCAAGTACCTACTTCCGTGCCAAAAATGTCGTGAGCTAGTTCTATACTAGTCGCCGAATGCGCGCTTCGTCACAATGCCGTGACCTCCGAATGATCCGGCGCTGTTGCATAAGGGGTCGTTTGCCCTCGAACCAGCATTACCTCTATCATCCCATTTAATTTTGGCTGTCATTCGCCATTGGGCAAGTCAAATGATGGCAATGGAACGGGTTATCTGCACTCCCGAGCTAGTCGATATGATTCTCGCGCGCCTGTCGCGGAAGGAGAATGCAGTGACCGCTCTGGTCTGCAAGCATTGGCTGGAACACTCGCGCGACCACATCTGGCGCTACGTTAATAACCCGAAGGAACTGTTTCCCCTCCTTGTTCCAGTGAGAAATAATACAGATGAGCTTGAACCGGTGCGTAGGCCTCCTTCTATCCGCTGACCGCGATAGTAACATGCGATCCAGGACTTTGTGCGAATACCTGAGCCAGAGGATTGGCGGCGTTTTGAGCCCTTCGCGCGTAGGGTGCAGACCATTGTATTCGGAGTCATACGCAGCATGTCACCGTCCATGGCGTCTACCCTGCTACGGTCTTGCTCTCGACCCAACCCCATCTTCCCGAATCTACGCCACCTGCTGTGGAGCGTGAACGCGCCGCCCACCTCGAACGACAGCGTGCATGCTCTGTTCTTGCACCCAGGCGTCCGCCGTCTGACACTGTACAACATCGACAAAAATCGGATCACCTTCGAACCTTACTCTTTACGCTCTCTATTCTCCGATATCATCAGCCTGGCTCCTCATATATCCGAGCTCGACATTCGACCTGCCTCCCCAACGCCAGATGCGATGACCAACCTCGCGGTTGAACTGGTCTCTCGACTTCCAACACTGACCAAACTCGCGATAGACCCTGTGCTTCTAACAGCGTCTATGATACGCGCACTATCCAAACACGAACATCTTACCGAGATAGTTCCCATGTTCGACGACGTCTCATGGGAGGCCCGAGACCCCCGGGACGCTACTGGTTTCGCGACTACCTCATTGGACCTCGCGCCAGATGCTTTCCAAGCGCTGGTAACCCTACATCTCGACATGCCGATCCAGGCCGTCTCACGCTTTCTGGCCGATCAGAGTAACATGTCCACTAGGTTACAAGACCTGCGCGTGCATGTGCTAGATAGCGCGAACAATGCCGCGGTGAAGGAGCTCCTCACAACGATTGTGTCGTCCTGTACAAACCTCCTCACTCTTGCTTTGGTTCTCTACCCGCCCATTTTCGTCTACCGCGCTATTCATGCTCCACCGCCCGAGCCCTTGGATGCGGCTACTCTCGAACCACTTCGTCGAATGACGCAGCTCGAGAGGCTCGTGATTCACCACATCGTTGCGACATCTATTCAAGAACCCGAGCTGCTCAGTTTCATCGAATCCTTTCCCAGCATGCATTCACTATTCCTTGTCCCGCGACCCGATTGGAGGCGGAACCCTCGTCTCCCAGCCCCTTCAGGGTTTGGACTTGACACGCTGGCAGCCATACTGCAACGGTTCCCTCGCATCCGGAAGTTGGGATTGTACCTCGATCTCACTCTCGTGACCGCCAATCCCTCGTCATCATTGCTCCAGTCTTCAAGCACCCTTCCTTCGTCTACACTCCATTCTCTTCACCTGGGTACCACGGCTTTACCTCCGAACAAGACTCCCGCCGCTATCGCTTTCCGGCTCCTGGCGCTTCTTGGACCGCAAGTCAGATTCTTCTGGGGCAATAAGCAAAAGTTGAGATGGGGCGTTCCTCGACCCGTCTACGCTGAGCCCTCTTTCGAATCACAACTCGAGCAGTGGGCGCAGGTCGAAAAGCTCTTGGCATTTGGGTTCTCGGTTCGGAGCGGAGTGTATTCTACAGACTTGGACAAGCCTGCATGAGGTTGTAAGCTACAAGAGGATAAGTACACGGTTTCACTATGTCACCTGACGACTTCCTACAGTACCATGATCTCTGTCTCTTCCCGTGCACCACGATGACATCCCAGATACAGGAACCCATTGACGCCGCAACTACTTATACGCGAGTCTCACTGATAGATGCCATACCGTATTGTATTACCCCACAAGTTCCGAGTAATTCCTGATTGTGCAAGTAGACTACTATCGTACAATGAATGTGGTTTAGTGATAGACGTCCCCACCGAACTGCACTGAGCGCTCAATCAAGATGCGATCAAAACCTATCGCCGAGAGCGAGTCAGCGAACTGTGCGCCGTTGAGAGATACATAACTTACGGCGGAAGGGGTCAGGCCGAGTTGGCGTAAGGTCTTGGAGAAGTCCGCACGCGAGAACTGTTTCCTGAGTTGCATCGTAGCGTTAGACCTGTGCTAGCAGATGTACAGAGCAAACATACCTCGGAAAGTGCTGGGCGAAGTTGACTGTTTCAACGTCGACAGCCAGCACCTGTCCAGCAAGGAATTCCGCTACTTCGCGTAGAGCTATACACCGTTAGCACATTCGGGCGAGTAGCAATTGTTCGTACGTACTTGCGTCACTGGACAACGTAGTCTTGTACGGTTGCCCGCCACTTGCCAGACGAATCTGAAGACGCGTCTCGGGAGAGTCAGATGATGCTGTAGCTGCAGGTCGTGCGGCGGCTAGCGGTGCAGGCGCAGCATCTGGATTAGCGGTGCCTTCACGAAGTGCTTTCTCCCGTGCGGCCTTCGCTGCTCGTTCCCTCTTGTCCGCTTCGATCTGGGCCTTGACGGCAGCCTTTGCCCGAGCCTCATCCTCCTTCTCTATGGAAGTATACGGCGCTTAGTATCTCAAGTGGTGACGGAGGTATTGATCGTCAACTCACCGCGTTTCTTCGCTTCCATGTCCCGCTTCACTTGCTTCGCCTTCAGTTCCTCCTGGATCTTACCCATATCCTACCAGAAGTCGCGTTCAGCGAAGAATGATCGTAGGTAGTCGATGATACACACCTGCCCGCCCTTACGTCGGATGAGTTCGTTAGCCTTCGCTTCTTCGGCCTCCTGCTTCGCCTTAACCGCGCGCTTCGCCGCCATCTTCTCGCGTAAGTCAGCGAGGCGCTGCTTCTTCTCTTCTTCTGTCAAGGGTTTAATCTGCGACGCATACGGAGGATCAGCGAGTGATATTCGGAGAGTGAACATTGAGTGCACCTCCTCCGTAGACTCTTCGAATTGATCGTGGCCGCTCTTCTCGGCGTGGAAGTTCGCTAATGCCGTATTCTTGAATATCTTGCCACACTGAGAGCATTTAATACTCTGCTGGTAGTGTCAGTACTTATCTGTGAAACTGAATTTCCGTCACGTACCCGAGCCTCAACGTCTGCCGGTACGCTCGCCACATTGGCACTCGCCTTGCCCATCGCCGCGCGAAGAGCGGCCTCTTCATCATCTTCATCCATAGGCACATCTCCTCCGGATGACGCGGAAGGTTGTGCCCCAGCCTCCGGAATAGGATCGTCATTATGCTCCAGAATAAAGTCCATTGCAGGCTGCAATCCGCGGTTATTGGTGGCTCTCAAGGCCCCTACCATATCGCACTCAGTTGAAAGTCGTTCATGGCAGACATGTCGCGGTCTCACACTCTACGCGAGCTGGGTCAAAACCCATACCAAGTAGTGTATCCTTGTCAGACATGATGGCGTGTGGTTAGATGCAGTAGGTGATAGAGGTAGAGATCAAGTACCGCGAGGTGCCTTTGATGCGTGACGCGTCGCGCTCAGATGATCTAATCTCAGCGATCACGGATCTATCCAGTATCCATCATACGCGCTTTCCGTTGATCTGGCTTTGCCCAACACCACCATCTGGCACGTCTCACGATGACCCAACGAGAGACGGCTCGCCTCTGTTTCCATGCGATGGTTTGACATGTTCCGGCAACTGTCCGTATATCGATGAGCGCGCGGCGGCCGTCGTCAAGCACGGCAGTCCGTCCCGCGTCTCGTATTTGTATTGTCCTGGCCCGCCTCCTTTCACGAGCCCGAGGAGGACTGCGGCCGCCGATGGGGCGATCGGCAAATACAAATGGTCTCTGCATGATCTTCAAAGGAGATCTGGGCCTAGGGCGGCGGCGCCGAAGCCAGAAGGCCACAAGTCGCTAGTATGCCCATGAGAATCAACAGGGTCCCACACTGTGGCAGCAAATACGCTCATTCAACCTGTCTCAAGATGTCTCGAAGAGTCGAGAGGGATGCAGCTCTTGACGTCCGACAGCCGACGAACAGCGCTCACCAGCGCCGACACTCGTAGGTCTCTCAGGGTCGAGGGATGTTTTGCGTTTCCCTCGGTCTGCTTCCGTACCTGTTGGGACTCCCTTTCGGCTTCCCCATGCCCCGAAGGAGGCGATGTTCTTTGTTACGACTCCCCGTGGTGCGTTCATAACCTTTTCGCGTTGGATACGGCCGCCGCTGCAGTAGCGCAGCGCCTCGATCTCGCCGACTGAACCCGCTTTTCCGCATATAAGGACGGTCGTGTTCATCACCTGTTCGCTGCTCTCCCGCCGCTGTTCTTGCTTCACTCACTCTTCCCCGGAGCGTACGCCAAGCCATACTAGCTCGGTCTTATATCATGCATCACGAACATGTACGTCTTTCGGGTGCAGCCACTTCCCAACTAAGCCTGAAAATTGACGTGTACGCAGCATGCATCCCTGCTCATAGACAGCTTCGCGCTGCAGCCAAGCACCTCTTCGCGGCCGCCGCCGTCGCGCGCGGGGAGCCTTCTGCCCGAGCTGCTCTCATACATCTTCACCCTCTACAAGGATGATATCTCCACGAGATTATCGACGCGGCGCCCGGCATGCTTGGCAGAAAGCGCGCTGGCATGGGCCTCCGTGACTCATGTTTGTCGACACTGGCGTTCCGTCGCGATCGATTCGACTTGCCTCTGGACGGACATCGTCTTCCACTGTGGACGTGCTTGGGCAGAGGAGATGTTCCGCCGTTCACGGACAACGCCCCTTACCCTCGACATTCACCTACCGCTGCACACATCTGCCAAGGATGATCCAAAATGGTTGCCATGTCGGTTAGCCGCCCATACGCGCCGCATCCAACGTTTGGCGCTACGCGGGTCCCCCGTCGCCATCCACGCCGTTCTCGAACACCTTACCGCCCCAGCTCCACTTCTCGAGGATCTTCGAGTGAAGCCGACCCATTACATCTTCGGCGAGGTGCCGCTGAAGCTGCCACTCACCCTCTTCTCTGGATCAACGCCGCGCTTACGATCCGTCTTCGTGCGCTATTGCGCTTTGCCCCCCAATTGGCCGCTACTCCGGGATCTTACGGCCCTCAGCGTTTGGTTCCCAAAACCGTTCGACTCGCGCGCCGTCACCAGGTGCAGCTCGCCGTTCCAAAATATGGAGGAGCTTTTAGGCACCCTCGACGCATCGCCTGAGCTCGAGACTCTTATACTCGCTCACTGCCTACCACACATATCCGACGATGAACGCCCCTGTTCGCCTCACGTCGCACATCCCCGTCTGACGAGTATCAACATTCAAGGCGCCGAACAAGACTCCCAATACCTGCTGTCGTGCATTGCCGCGTCTCAATGTACTTGTTGATCGCATCCGTTCATACGCTGCACGTCCTCTTTCTCCCTCCACCCCAATATCCAGCATGCATATATCCCAAAAGTTACACTCTACGCTCGACTAGTCTTACAATATCTACCTTACCGGACAAGTATCAATCTATATATTTCCTACTACGCCTACTTAAGCGAATCGCTTTAAGTGCTACGTACCAAAGCGCACAAGATGGAGTCCCGCCTCTAAGTCGTTCAATGTGGATATACTGCGGAAATACTTGAGTAGTTCAATGGCGGACCGCGCTCGGACCGGAATCCGGGCCGAACACCTGCCTTGTGCTTTGGCGAAACCCTCTCGCGACTTGCTTGCGACCCCCACAGAAATTCATGTGGTGTTCTACGCATATTCTATATCCATTCATACCTCACTCGACGCCAGTCGCTCACGCGTGTTGCTCCTGAATGCTGCGAGCTTCCGTCCACATCGAACGTGAACGTCAACAATATTGCATTACTCTAGGGCACTGCCTCAAGCGTGCCGGCGGCACTGAAAATCTGGTTGCCAAAGCAACGCTTACGCCTCAGCCGCCTTTGAGCGACATCTTCTCATCCTACATTTGATAATCGATTACACAGGTCCTTACAATACAGTTCAGCTGTCCTGTGCATGTCGGAATCTCCCCGGCACGGCTTCACGCAAGCTTCACGAGCATGCCTCGTCTCCTCTCGCGCCAACCACGACACCATCCCGCAAGTCCCAAAGCGATCTGCGCGGGCACCTACTGAGACCACTACCGGATCTTCATTACTGTCATGTTGGCAACGCTACCAGAAGATGTCACCCAGGACGATTTTGAATTTGAAGCAGACGATACCGAGGCGCGATCGAGGGATCGTAACACGTGGCGTAGACCTTACGGATTAGAAGTGCGCTTGGCAACCATTTCACATCTGGGACACGCATTGACATATTCATAGAGGCGATATGACTTTGTACGGCTCACTGGGCCGCCACATGCGAGACAAATCGCTTCCGAGGCCGGTCCATCCAATCACACGAGGAGACTACTCGTCGACGCTGCTGCTCTCGACGGGTTTGAAGCAATAACCCAGGCAGGGCACGATGCATTCGGGAACGATCCTCTCCCTCGCCGCCACTCGATTCCAGTGGCAGCTGCCCTGCCTGAGCGCGGAGGCTCTAGCCATGCCACCGCCGATGCACACCGGAGTCGACGCAAAGTCGAGAGGCCGGATGGTGCTCAAACCATCCAGCGTGTGGTCCTGGGGTCAATTGTCACCTTTGGGGCTGGGCTAGAGATTCTTGGGTTCACGACTGGCTTCGAGTCCTGTACGATCCGCATCAGTGGCCTGCCTTCTGATGCTGTGGATCGCGAGATCTACTCGCTTTTCACCCAACAGGGTATCGAAGAGGCGCGCCTTTACCTTATATACAATAGACCGCTGGCCGATGGCACCCGCGAAGCCAAGATGGTTATGGACGCGGAGTCTGCTCAAGTGCTGTCGGTCGGTCTCGAAGATCTCGACTTTCGGGGATCACGTTTGTCCTTTGAAGTCGGCACGTACAACGTACCAGGCAGGATGGGTGCATCCGCCGTCAAAGACACAAACATCTTGACCATATCGTGCCCAGCCGCCTCGATCCGTTACGTGGTAACCTACGCCTCCGAGGAACTCGCGCGTGACAAATGCGCCGAATTGGACGGGTTAGACCATCGTGGCCGTCGCCTGAAGGCTGAGCACAGCCAGATGCCTGTAGCGGAATCTGACGAAAGTCACAATGCTCCCCAACACGCGTTGAAGTTGAGCAATCTGCCCAGATCCACGACATTCGACGACATACGGTCTTTGGCTGGTCCGAACGCGCTCGCGCTTCGCCCTTTGGCTTTGAAGGGAGCGCTCAGCAACGACGTCGCACTTGACACACTTCGAGCGACTGTCCGCGCCTCTGGATGCCAGGACACCGACATACTATCTTTCGAGTCGCCTGATGCCACGGATCTGCGCAACGGAACTCTCACTGTCCGTGTAGCCTTCTCGTCCTGGGATGCAGCCAAGAGAGTGCACGACCACGTCCAAGGCAGGAAACTAGCGGCCTTGGGTAACAAAGCCTTTCAGGTTTTCCTCCCTTCACCCCTATCCTACTCCATTTCCATTCCATCTCAGCAGCACGAAGCTCAGGAGGCTCAATGGAGCAAAATGCGTCGGGAATCGCATTTAGGCGATAAGACCTTGAGCTGCTTGACAAGGTCGAGAGTCCCTGGAAAGTCACTGATTCGTCTACGCGTAACTGGTTCCGACACTAAATCGGTTGGTGCATTGAAGTTACGCGTCGAGAGCTTGGCCGCTGGCGAGAAGGTCGCGGGATGGCATTCGCGACTTCTACGGGACGACAACCCGTTCGTCGACCGAGTTTCCGCCGAAACTGGCGCCTTCGTACGTGTAGACAAGCGCCGGCGCCAGATCAGGATCTATGGAAGTACGGAAGCTACCGCTCGCGCGCGCGAAATGGTACTGGACGAGTTAGCCCGTTTGGCAGGCTTGGATTTCCGGACGCAGGTCCCGCCGTCATCGGTGCGGGCATTCCTAGCGCAGGGGTTATATGAGCTTCACGACCTCTTGGGAGAAGAAAACGTTCACTACGATGCGTCGAGACGTTTGCTCACCACGTCGGGAGACGACGATACGCGCCATATTGTGTCTCGTGTCGTCAAGCGAGCTGCACGGAACAGCACGGTGATAGGACACAATGGCGCAGATGCCTGCCCCGTTTGCTTTGACGCCGTTCGGGCTCCGCTCCCACTACCTTGCGGTCACACCTATTGCTCGTCTTGCCTACGCCATTTCGTCACGAGTGCGGAAGACTCAGACGTATTCCCGCTCATCTGTATGGGGAATGAGGCGCGGTGTAACGTTCCCATCCCTCTCCCGATGATCGAGCGGTTTCTTCCACAGCCTGCCTTAGCTCGGCTGCTGGAAGCGGTCTTCTCTATCTATGTGTCTCAACACGCGCAGACGATCAGGTTCTGTCGCACACCTGATTGCGAGCAGATCTACCGCGTCGCCTCCTTGATCGGACCGAGCCCTTCACCTGTACAATGTCCCGCCTGCCTAGCTGTCGTGTGCCCAGCGTGCCACGAAGACGAACACGAGGGGATGCGCTGCGAAAACTCTCTCCTGCGAAGCGACCCAACACGACTCGAGGCACTGGTTGACGAGTGGATCGCAGGTCAGGATGGTCGAGTGAAGCGATGTCCGCAATGCGCAGTGCCCATAGAGAAAACGGAAGGGTGCAATCATATGGAGTGTAGGTACGTGGGGTGCTCTGGTGACGTTTTCTCTCTATAGGCGGCTAAGACTCATCGTAGATGTGGCGCTCATGTTTGTTGGACGTGCTTGGGCATATTCTCGGCCCAGGACATCTACACGCACATGCGGACTGTCCACGGCGGCATTCACGACAATCCTGCGGACGTGCATCCATACGCGGTGAGTTTGCTTCCTTTCGGATGCGACGAAGACTCACACTATATAGGCTGCTTTGCCTGAGCCTGCGCCGATCGTGGATCAGTGGTTGGTGAGTGTCCAGTCTTCAGATCAGTTACATTCGCTCACAACGCTATCTTGATATAGAATCGCAATGGCGGCGTGCCTTTCCTCCAGGACCGATATCGACTATTGAATCGAGATAACGCTGATTTCGTACGAAGACATGGAGCTCTATGGGAGAGGAGGGACGACGGAGTAGATGCCGAAAATATGCGGCTACGGGAGCGATTTTTGGCGGCTGAGGCAGAGAGACAACGTCGGCGGGACACGGGAGCTGGAGCGGCTCAACAAGACAGAAGATATCTGGCTTGGATGCAAGTGCTGCGTTGCCGTATGTGATCCGTGCCTGAGATACATGTGCATACTTTGGAATCCTATCATCTTCACCATTCGCCACGGTAATCATACCGAAGACAATCGGCGTCGATTAATCGAGTTAAGATGGGTTTTCACAAGTCTAATCGGCGACCGCGCTATACGGCTTGCTGCGCGCGCTCGCGTTCTAGACCGCACGGTTTTTCCGCATACCCTCGCCCCACCGCGCTGGGGCTCGCACCGCTAGACGCGATGACCGTACGCTCGCGCCGAGCACGTCATCACACATATTTTGCTTCGCGCCGCGTGCCCCAGGCGTCACCTCGTAGTGCGCCGCACGAGCGTAGCGCGTATCTGGGCCCGTACGAACCGCTGCGCACGCCAACGGGGTTCGCAGTTGTTGAGCCGCAGAGGAACCCCGAGTGGAGCAACGTACGCGGGCGAGGATAAAGGGAACGGGCAGACCGCCGCGTCGCTCGCGCACGCTGCCCTATCTCCTCGCCAGGTTCGTACGACTTCCTAACCTCCGGTCGCTACCGGGTAGCTTACGCGCGCACGCTTTTCTCCTCGCCAGGCCGCATATAGCTTTCTCGTCTCCCACCCACCCACAATCTGTTGGTCTCCCTTATGTGGTTCTATTGTAATCTGCGCCTACGTACAGTACACACCGGTGCCCGTGGTGTTTCATCGCCTATCATGTATCTACCGCCATCCACCCCTCCACCAGTCTCGCGCTTTGCAATCCATCTGGCCCCTCCCGGGACCGTTTCCTGCAACCACCGCCACCTCGTCAAGCCAACTTGACTCGGTCAAGCCGATTAGACATAGATCAACATGGTTGCGCCCTTCTGAAGTGATGTACAGGCACGGATGGAGCATCGTCATGAGCTCCCTGAGGATTGAGGGAAGTGCGAACATCGCGAGCGCTAGCGGCCGGGCGGCAAGCTCAGCTTGAAAGGCTACTTGAAGTACAATATCACAGATACTCTTGAAGCTACTCTAGACTAGGCATACGGCGCAAAGCGCCCCGCCGCCACGCGCGTTGCTCTACTTGAACGGTATTGCTTGGGTACCCGGAGGTACACAGGTTCCAGCTGCAGGTGCATTGATTCTACAAACTTAAAGGACGACGCGCTAGCTCAACCGCGTACCACACGCGGCCTTCCTATTGGCTGCGAACGGTCCCGTTGGCGATGACGCAACCCGTCTACGGAACGCAGGTGACCGCGTCACCTTCGACGATGGTGGGCGCGGGGCACGCCGTGCGCTTTACGGTGCGGCGACAAGGCTGCTGCTCGTTACCGTCTGCAGCTGGACAGCATCAAATGCACACATACACTGGAGTAGGACATGAGGAAGTGTAGAGTAAGGGCGAGAGCAGGGATGAGAGAGCGCGAGGGAGCGCGTGCAACTTAGTCATCAACGCGCCCTTCGGGCGCGTCGCGTCGCGTCGTAGCGCCATCATCGCCGATAGCACCAGGGCAGTTGGCCCGAGGCATTCCCTCCTCATAGAGTCGCTCGGCCTTCTCCAATACGTATACACAGATGCACTGGACTACAAGGCGTAAACCCTGCGAGAACCGGAGCTCACATGCAGATAAACGGGAAAAAGAAGGGCGGGAGAAGCTCTTTGACGTGATTCTTCCCACGGAGCGGTGTTTTTGCATCAAACGGACTTTCTGTCCGTGAAACCTGGACCCTATCGGGACCAGGCATGGTGCAGAAAAGTACGGAGGATAAATCAGGGCGGGAATGGAATCGAACTGACTTATACCCGGTGGTAAAAGGTTCGTCCGTAGACTGATCCTTACACGAGAACTTTCTCACACCAAAACCAGAACCAGAATGTAGACTCGGATTCAGGCGAGGGGAAAAAGTCCCCTCTCATCTCTACACTACGAGGCTTATATGCGAGCTACTCTACGGTATGGTACGGGATCACCGGTCGTCGGTCCGAGCAGAAGTGCGAGGGCCGGCGCGGAAAAGTTTAAGTGTGTGTTCCTCACATTGCCGGGCCTCGGACTAGCGTATGCGTCTCTTGACTTCGAACCGCCGCGACGCGCCGCCCTTCCCAACACGGGCCGCTCCCAGCTTCAGGCTGTTCTCGTAGCTGAGTACCTCCTATGAAGGATTCTTATTTACTGACGCGAGCTGACCGTTGAACAGGACTCTCGACGAATGGTGTAACTTGCGTGTACCCCCACCCCACCCGACTCGAGTGACGGGGAGCCCTTCGCGGTCCTGCCGTCGTCTGCGGACCTCCAGCCTTCCCCCACCACATGCATTGCTGTTGCTCAGGGCTCATCCCTGTGATGGTTGTGCATAGGTGCCAAAATGCCGAGTGCGCGAGCGGCGGGACGGCGGTGTAGCTGGGAACTCGGAGGGAATGAAGATGCGCCGCATGAACGATAGTACATGTACTGGTCAGAGTTGCACTGTATCAAGTCGAATGAATCGTAATATATAACGTGGCATTCGCTGAGTTCCCAGGACGTACTCACGTGTTCGTGTTTGCAAGGCTTCTGATAGTAAGCGCTTATGGACTCATGTCGGATTCGGTGCATAGCCTCCCGCTACTCTTCCCACCGACCGCACCTTTGCCTCGTGCTAGACGGCGTGCTCGTGATCGACTATACTCTGCACTCTCACCGATTCCACAACTACCACAATCTCACCTACATGACATCGCCCAACACTGGATATCCACAGGGATCGATGGAAGAGGCAGCGCTCAATCCTGAAGTCACGTTCAAGGAGTTATGGGCGCAGGCCGTCAAGAAAATTGAGCACAGCGACATTGTGAAGTCGCCTCGATGGAACCGCATGCTCGAGGATATGTCGACTTGCCGTAGCGCTCAGGAAGTGTGCATGAAGATGGAGAAGGCGGTCTCAGCACTGAAGGATTTTCGCCGCGGCAACTCTCAGTGGGCGAATCTGCGGACCAGGTATCTCAAACCAGCCGCGGAGGTGCTATTCGTCATCAACAACGCTGTCTCAGCGGTGGCGGCAGGTATAGTACGTATAGCCAAGCTTCAAAAACTGTAAGCGACCCTAACGACTTTCGTGTAGCCAGGTATGCCAGTAGGGAACACGATATTTGCGATGTTAGGCATGCTGCTCGAGGTTAGCGTCAATCCTCCGTGTCACAGGGAAAGAAGCCTGATAGATAATCAGGCTACAAAGGGCGTGAGCGAGCGTTTTGAGGCGCTCTCAGAGTTCTTTGAAGAGATGAGCTTCTTCTGGACTAGCCTGAAGGTTCGGGTGGACAACCGTCATCAGTCTGTCGGACCTGCGGCGCAGACGGTCGACATCGCCATTCTTGCACATCTCCTTGACACTATCTTCCTCGCGATTGAGATCGTTTCAGAGCCTGTATTGCGTGCGCGTTTAGGTACGCATGCAGAGATGTAGATTGAGACTTCAGTATTTGACTGAGCTCACTACCTATCTTAGGTTTTTTCTGGAACGCCCTTGCGAAAAACGACAAGGTGCAGAGTGCATTGAAGCGCCTTCGTACTCTCACGGATATCGAGACACGTGCTATTGCCGCTGAGACGCAATACCTCGTATCAGACGTCCATGCTATCAGCGCTGAGACAAAGAAAGTGATAGAGGCTTGGAGAGAAGGTATGACTCAGTGACAGCATGCAGTGCTACGCTGAAGCATTGCTCGCAACAGAACTGTCGAACGTGAGACAAGCAGAGGTACGCCTTCAGAAACAAGTACTTCATTGGCGATATCATTGATGTCTGAAACCAGAAAAACCGCCGTGTGTTAGCCGGTAAATCTTGGCTTTGCTCTTCCAACGGCCTCTCTCCTGATTGTGTCAAAATAGATGTACTGGCAAGGCTTACTCCGGCCAGTTCGGCCAGCATAGATGCCCAAAGTGTCGAAGGCTGTATGCCGGGGACACGCCTCCGTATATTGAAGGACCTCCAAGATTGGAGCCGTGATCCACAAGCGCAGAAGATATACTGGATGAGTGGCATGGCTGGTACCGGAAAGTCGGCCATTGCGCGCTCTTTCTGCCACATTCTCCGCGAAGATAGTATGCTTGGGGGAAGTTTCTTTTGTTCTCGCCGTGGTGACGTGGAAAATGGCGATGTGAAACGCATCCTTCCTACCCTCTGCGCTTCTTTGATCTCGTACAGCACTTCTTACACGCGATCGCTTCTTTCTGCACTCGAAGGCCGCAAAGACCGAGGCCTCTCTCCCCACCTGAATCTTCGGAAACAGATTGAAATGATATTGGAATCACCCTTCTCGGAGATGAAGAACATTCCCGAGCCAATCGCAGTATTGGTTATCGACGGGCTAGACGAGTGTTTCAATGACGATGTCACCGGTGACATGCTTCGTGAGCTAGTCAAAGTCGCGCCTGGTCTACCCCTCAAGTTCTTCCTGACTTCTCGGCCAGAGCCCGCTATTCGTCGACAGCTCGAGAAACTGGACCTGGTTCTCAGACTACATGATATAGAGAAATCAGTTGTAGGAGCCGATATATCAGCTTACTTGACGGCCGGTTTCTGCTCAATCAGGAACGAACGACGAGGGGAATTACCACTTGATTGGCCCTCGGCTGGAGATATCGATGTCGTGGCGCAGCTCTCTGGTAAACTGTTCATCTATGCCTTCACTGTATTACAGTACGTGAGGCGCCGCGATCCCAGGGGACGATTACGGAAACTCCTGGGGGACATATCTTCTCCGGACTCTACTCTCACGCGAGCACTGGATGACATCTACAGCCTGGTTCTCACGGAGGCTCTAGATCCTGGCATATATTCAGGCCAGGAAATTGATATCACCCGCCAGGTGCTGACGGCAATCTTGTCTTCCTTGCATCCGCCGTCAATTCAAGCACTCGCGGGACTGTTCGATGTTGATCCTCCGGACATTCGAGCAGCTTTGGACCGTCTTTATGCCGTGATATATGTCCCCTTGCGCGATGATATCGATGGCCTTTCCACCTTTCATACCTCCTTCGGCGACTTCCTCAACTCGCCCGCGCGAAACCCATTTTACATTGCCGAGACCATGTCCGAGCGGCATCAGATGCTCGCTACAAAATGCCTGGGGGTTTTGCTGTCGAAAAGACTTCACTTCAACATGTCGGATGCACGTACTTCGTACCTGCCTACCTCCGAACAGAGGATTGCGTGCATTGATCAGAGTGTCATCTATGCGTGTACTTCATTCTCGGCTCACATGCGAAATGCCGATCATCCTTGTCGTCTTCTCGCTACACTGGGGATTATTTTCATGGGTCCCAGATTCTTGTTTTGGTTGGAAGTTCTCAGTGCAATCGGCCGCTTGGATAATGCACAGACAATTCTTGATGATTTGTTGCTATTGGTTCCAATCACGCTACTGGCGCCTCTATTGACCTTATTTCTCCATGAAGCGCGGGATTTTATTGAAGCCAATAAGGCCACTATCTCTGAGAAGGTTACTGACATCTATCTTGTCGCGCTTCCACTCACCAACAGGTGGTCATTCATCGACTACTACTGCAAGCCATACTTCTCACAGTTGGCCGTGGTGTCTGATTACCACAAGTTTGATGGGCTACTGCAGATAACAACCGGATCGCAGGGCGATTGCGATGGTCAATTCGTCGGGGAGACTACTGGTGGTACCTTTCGTGTCTGGAACCTGAAGTCGGGGAAGCAGCTCAACCCAGGATGGCCAACAGGTCCGCGGCCGGAAAGCTCTATCACTTTCTCGAGGGACGGGCGGTGGGTAGCATACATCGAAGACGATAGTCTGATCAGGATTCAGAATGCCGGAAAGATGAAGGAACACCTCAGGCTCCCTCCTCTGGCAGACAGTGGCATCACCTGTCTCGCATTGACATCTAATGGGCGGTATCTTGCATCTGGCTCCTCCAGTGGCATCACATATATCTGGGACCTCGAGACCGCGGAATTGCTACAGTCATTGAGGTGAAGATCTTACCAAATATTGATGAATTTCTCGTTGTTAACGCAATTTTCCCACAGACTTGATTACCCGAATTCCTCGCGCAAATCTCCCGCTGTTCATTCCGTGGCTTTCTCTGAAATCGGACCATTCCTAGCTGCTGGATATAGCAATGGGAGCGTACAAGTCTGGGATGGGCAGACGTACGCATCTGCGTCTTTGCCACTGCAGTCTAGACATCAAAAGGCGGCGGTCACTTGCCTAGCATTCTTCCCTGATCCAGCCAAAGTCGTATCTGGCGGCAGTGATGGAAAACTTCACGTATGGGAAATTGGTTTGAATCGAATCATCGTGACTATGCGAGCAGAGGGTAGTGTCCGGGATATTGTCTGCGCGCGCTCCGAAGAAAGTATGCTGATAATGTCTATGGGGAAAGATGGTGAATTCAACGTGTGGGATGCATACACAGGCGAATTGCGATTTCACCGACGCTCTATGAGCGATATCCGACGCCTTTCTATATTGCAGAGGGGGGGCCCGTGGCTGATTGCCCTCAACTGGAGCTGGAAGTCTCCTGCCGACTCTGTCTGCATCTATGATGTTGCCATGCTTCCCAAAGCTGAGCCGATGCAAATCGCCGACATGGTCCGGCTCGCCCACCACAATGAAAATCGGAGTACAGCACATGATCGAACTCAACGGGATCTGCACCTTGGTCTACCGAGACAAAATTACGGCGCGTGGGATCGGAAAGTGAAGCACGACTCGCTGGGAAGCTATCTAGCTCATATACTCATGGGAGATACCGAGCGATTTGTCATTGACTGGTCGGACACAGCACATGGCACCGACTGGCAGAAGTGTTACACACCTGAGCATGCCTCGCGTCGCTATCAGCGCTACGAGACTGAATTTTCTCACCTTTACACCGTCTTCAACGTCGTGTCAAGGCGGGCTTGGAGGATTTGGGAGGACCACGGACTTGCGTCAAAGCTGATTACAATGCTGATTCTACTACTTCTAGTAGGCATATCGGTGGAGCCGTTCTGGCTCTCACTAGCCAGAGTTCTACTCTGGTGCAGTCACGAGATCCTAGAGCTTGCCAAGATTTTAACAGATTAACCGTCTCGAGAACAGCCACACGTAGACATACATAGATCTCTCGGCTTCCATATACCATGATGTTCCATCCAATTTTCACGTTTCCTCGTACCTTTTGTACATGCAACTTATTGTCCATCTTCCTGTAGCAGACTGCACTCAGGGACGGTTGAATCTCACTGCACGAGTTCGACGTAGTTCGCTGATCAACTATCAGTGATCGACGTATTAGATGATGAGCAGCATAAACATACCAGGGAAGAGCCCGACGTTCCCATGTTGATCCTTGCCCTGCCACCAGTCGTCGCTAGAGGCCTCGATCTCGATAATACGGTCACCCTCCTTAAACGAGAGCTCGTTCTCTTCACCCGCTTCGTAACTATTGACAGTAAAGGTTAACGACGATATGCGCATGTGTTCACGATGGGTCCACGTACTCATATTGCGCGATGGCGACGGTGCCTTCATCTGCGGCGACTTCGGGTTCGGG